GCGACTGATCTGCCTCGCCTGGGAAGAGTGCAATGATGGTGCCAACTTGGGCCAGTGAAGCAACGTCCTCCATAACTAGATTGAAGAACAAAAACGACAGCAACTTGTCTGTTCCCCTTCCCCCAATTCCCCATCACTGTTCCCATCCCCCCAATTACCCAATAAAAATCTTTAAAAAATAAATAAATAAATAAAATAAAATAAAATAGCATATAACATAAAGGAGGTACTGATAAGGATGTCTTTAAAAATTGTTACTATAAAAGTTTCTTTAACAGTACACAAAAGTACACTAACCATAAAGGGAAAAAAATCTATATATTGTACTACATTGAAATCATGAACGTTTGCTCATCAAAAAATACCATTAAGAAAGTAAAAATGCAAGTCATAGACATGGGAAAGATATTTTCAATACATAGACCCCACGACTTATCCAAATATCCAAAATAGATTAATAAAATCCTATCAATCAACAACAAAAAGACAGAAGCTCAATTAAAAATTGAGCCAAAGAGTTGGACAGGCACTTTACAACTTAAGAAAAACAGATAATGAATATTTAAAAAGATCAATCTCACTAGTCATCAATGAAATGTAAATTGAAAACCACAATGAAATGCCATCCTATATTCACCAGAGTGGCTAAAATTAAAAAGACTGACATTGCCAAGTGTGACACAGATGTGGAGAAACTAGAGCTCACACGCGCTGGTGATACAGTGTTGGTAAAGGTGAATATACGTATGCTTGTCACCCAGCAACTCCACTCCTAGATCTATTTATATCCAACAGATAGGACGTGTACAAGCACACTCCATCGCAGCGTACCTAGATCAGGGGTCAGCACACTACTGCCTACAGCTGTATTTGTGTGGCCCGTGAGCTATAAATGTTTCCTACACTTTTAATTGGTTGTAAAAAAAAAAACCAACATTTTTTTAAAGAATATGCAACAGAGACCATCTGTGGCTCATAAAGCCTAAAACATCGACTTATCTAGCCTTTACAAAAAAGAGTTTGCTGACCCTTGTTCACCATCTAAAACTGAAAACAAACCAAATGTCCCATCAGCAGTTGAATGGGTAAATAAATCGTGGTATGTTTATACAATGAAACAGTATACAGAAATGGGGTGAGCAAACTATTGGCAACAACATGTGGAATTTCACCAACCAATGCTAGGAACGAGGAGCCAGATACCAAAAATGTGCATGTGGTATGTGTTCATTTATATGAAGTTTGACAATAGGCAAAAGAAATCTATGATGTTAGAAGTCAGGAAAATGGTTATCCTGGGTGAGGGGTGGTTAGTGGCACAGAAGGGGCTTTTGGGTTCTGGCAAGATTCTGTTTTTTGGTTTGGGTATTGGTTATTGGTACCTTCACTTTGTGAAATTTCATGGAATTGTACACTTATGATATCTGCACACATTTCTGTAAGTTGTTCTACTTTAGTAAAACGTGTATTTAAAAAGTCATTTCTACCCAGGAAAAAAAGCATCTGCCCCACCAGTGGAACTGTACCAACCACAAAGTGATAGCCCTGCATCACTAGAAAACCATCCCTGAGAGCATTCTCACTGTGGTGTATTGCCTTGTCAATAAGCTGCCAGAGGCTGTATCTTATGTGGATGAGACATATACTTACATTACCCTTATCCAGTCTGGTTCCTTCAAAAATTGGCACTTTCTTCATAGTCTGGCATCAATGGCTACAACACACACCTGGTTTATGCAGAGCTTGATGGCAGAACGTGGTGAGCTCGGTGCTTTGAAAGACTAGACACCAGGTTTTTTGAAAACCACGAATGTGGGTACAAATACAACAGGTTTATGCCTCTGTATGCTCTTAAGATTCTTTTTGTCCCTTATCGAGCCATATTTTTTCCCCTGCCTTTTCAAGGGGGTGTACACCGTCTAGAGTCTGTTGAAGAATATAATGAGCTGATGGTGCGAAATGGGGACCCCCGGGCCAGGATGTTGGAGGTCTCCCGAGATGGCCGAAAGCACTCCCTTCCCCAGCTGCTGGACTCTTCGGGAATGTCACAGGTAGTCCCGTCCTCCGGAGCCTCTTGCTTTCTATATAGTCAAAGTTGACCAGTCAGCGATGGAAGGGCATGTTTCCACCCCGGGTCTCTAGGCTTTCTTTTGTTCTTTCAAAGACCAGCAACATCTTCCATGTTCCGAAGAACTGCCCATCTATGTGGGCCAGGAGTATCTGGGACTAGAGAGATGCAGTACAGAGAGTGAGGTCTGTCCAGGGAGGCTAGAAGGAAATCAGCCTAATATTTAAAAACAAGAGAGTAAAATAATCCCATGTTGGATCTTGACATCTTGATCTCCTTCCTACTGTGTGTTTTGGAACCGAGAGCCGCTTTCAACTGCCAGGAGACAATGGCGCCTCACCGTCTGTGGTGAACCACCATCACTCGCTTAGTGGGCGCATCGGGTGTCAGTTTAACAACTAGGTGGATGGATGCTGGGTAGTGTGAGAGAGGGAGGGAGTGTGCATACCTCTGCTATGCCTGGGATCCTACCTATTACACAGTAATCACTTAAATAGCCAGGGTCAGAGGAAACTGCAGCAGGAGTAAGTGGGTGATGATAATATTCCAGGGCCTGTCCCCACAAATGCTCGGGGTTTCCATAACCCTGAACAGGGGCTCCTCCTCAGTGACATCATCCTCAACCCAGTCAAAACTGGATATAGTCCCATAACCAAGTTGGAGGCCGCTCGGTCTCTGGGGAACTTGTGGGGTGTTCTTTGAGTCCTGGTACCATCAGCAAAAAGACTCAAGAGGAACCACTGGCATCTTGCTCCAGGTCTATGATGAAGCAGAGATGGAGGTGAGGAGCGTGTGGCCATAATGACCCCCGTAAGTACTTGGGGACTCTTATACCCTAGAGCTCTAAAGGACCTGGTCAGGACACCTGGGTCGGGCCCTCACTTTTAATGTGTTGTCAACATTTTACAGATAGGACAACTGAATCTCAAAGAGGTGAAGTGTTTTGCTCAAAGTGATATGCCAGAATCACTATGAAGAGACTTTTATCTGACCAGTAAAACGAAAAGTGCCTGCATTTCAGACGCAGTTGCTGATCAGGATGTTTTGTGTGGGTTCCACCCAAAGGCAACTTGAGTTGGGGCACCGAGAGAAAGCACAGCAAAAAACTTGTGTGGCACCTGGTGAAAACTCCTCCAGACTGAAGACAAGTCCATGGCCTGCTCAGAATAATCCAGTTGGACCAACAGAATCAGGAGATCAAAAAGTTGTAGGAAAGCTACATTGTCAGGCTGTTTTAGTTAGTGTGGAAGATGAGAGAGGATTTGCTGCCATCATAGCCAATGATGTCTAGTACTGAGGAAGTGATTTCTTAACTGATCTACTGAGGAAACCCAACCGTAGCTATAGCCTAACTAGAAATATCTATTTCTAACTAGGAACCAGGAAGCACAGGCTAGTGAAGATTGTAGAGAAATTACTTTTTTTCCTCTTCAAATTGTCATTGCTCTTGTCTTATTTTCTACCCATTTCTTTTTCTCCCAGGATTCACCTTTCTGCAATGATGGAAATGTTTTATATCTGTACTGCTCAATATGGTAGCTACATGTGTCTATTGAGCACATGAAAAGTGGCTAGTGAGACCGACAGCTGTATTTTTAATTTTAATTCATCTTAATTTAAATACTGACAGCCACAGGTAGCTAGTGGCTGCCACAGTGGACAGCACAGATCTAGAAAGCGCAGTGGGACCACTGAAACTCTTTGAGAGAACAGGGAAGCAGGCAAGCCTCTGGGTCCCGCTGGTCCCAAAAGGGAGATGGATTGAGGAGGTGCTGGAAATTGGTGATCAGAGAAAGGGTTTCCTTACGAATCCACACATGAACCTCTGTATTCAAGGGTTGAAAACTCATGGGCTATGTCTGGCTGTTTCCATGGTGGTTTCAGTAAAAGGGCAGCAACCTTGCCAAGTCAACATCATCTTTTTTTGAATCAGAGTCTGGGAGGCCCACATAGCTGGCAGATATTTTGTAAAACCGCAAAATATAATTGTTGTAAGCTGCCAGGAATACAAAAATATCATTAGCAGACATTTCATTTCTACCTTTGAATGTAGAATACACTAGTTAAAGATAAACACTATTTCTGATGTTTTCTTTTCTTGTATTAAACATGAATATATTTTTTTATTTTTTTGCTTATGCTGGAATATCTGTCATTTAAGAAATTTATTACTCTAAGCAGAATAGCAAGGAGCTAGACTAGAAGCGCTTTAGCAATAGATTCACTTAATCTCTTGTTTATGTTATAAATAGTGTACCCTGCTTACACATGTGTATATTGTGGGTGATGGACAGGAAAGAGATCAAGATTTGTGCTGCTGCATGCCAGGAAGGGAAAGTGTGGCTTACGGGAAAATATTTTATTGTCCAAATGTGAAGGATTAGAACTAAAGCTGCTGTAGTTTCTCAGTGGGATATTTTATACAGAATAACAGTTATCTGGGCTTGTGGTTTTGGTTTTATAAGAAACACGGGCTTACTAAGTTTTTGAGTGAATGAATTAAGCTTAAAATGGCAAGGTACTTGATAACCATGATTGTGAACTTGGGGTGGGGGCAGGGGGCGACTTCCAAGGGAGAACCTGACCCCAGAATGGTCATTCTACATCTCTGAGGCCTCTGGGTTTCTGGTTCCTGGCTCTGTTCCAGAAAGCAAGAAGCAGGATCCGTGGAGTAGGGGCGAGGAAAGAAACATCAGGTGTTTGCTATTTGTCATGTGGAGGAAAAAGGCATGGCGATCTATTGCAGTAAAGGCTAGTCCTCCAATGTTATTTATAATAAACTTTCTTTAAGCCTCTGGCCCAGAGAGAAATGGCTGTCTAACCCAAAAGACAACTGAGGTTTTCAAAATCTGAATATATTTCTATGCCAGAGGCCACAGAAGGATAAACGAGACATTCTCTGACCTTGCCGTGTGCTGACTTGTAGGAATACCACATTGTGAAGAAGTCCGCCCGCTCCCTAAGCACCACTCAGGTGGAGTCTCCTTGGAGACTCATTCGGCCATCGGTCATCTCTATCATCGGGCTGTACAAAGAAAAAGGCAAGGTGAGCTCTTTTCTGCCTACTGTTTTGCCCTCCAAGTGAATGTTAGCATATATTTCTTAAATAGTTACTTTTTATTATTGTTTTTATATGAAATAAAAAGTAAAACCTTTAAAGAGGAACAGATTAAGTGGCCTTTGTGTGGATTGGAGTGGCTTCTCTGGCATCCTTTCCTCTGGGCCCCTGAGTGAGGTGGTCACATCCTTTTTGCCCTTATGACGTTAGGAGCCACCAAGACCTGACAGGGCATAATCCCATATGGCATAAAGGTAGAGTGAATGCCCCAACTTTTACCACTATTGAGAGAAAAGCAGACCCTGCAGTTTTGGAGAATACTCCCAGTTTCCTTTTTGAATGAATTTCATGGTATTTTCATTATCATAAAGCAAATAATATATCTATAATTTGCTATTATACAAATATCAAAATGTCTATTTTGATATTACACAAACTGGAAAAACTGGGGGAAAAAAGAATAAAATCAATATGGCACCTGAATAGTGTGAAATGACTCTCATGAGCTATTAGTTGATCCATGTGAAATTGCCATTATTGGAGATCAAAGACTGTCAAATATTGGCAATTTCATATGTTTCAACCTAAAACTTTCTTGAGTATAACCCATAGCTAGCAATGCAAATAGATGTGAGGAGGTAAATGGAGAAGGGAAGACGACCTTGAATTTACTGCTAGTTACCTTAACTCTGAGCCTGGTTGGGGAGGACACCTCAGTTAAACACTGCAGTGGGAAGGGTGCCCTCAGTTAAATACTCCAGTGACAACCTGGACCCCTACTTTGGATGTAGGGCCTTGGCTTTAGCATTGCTGGAGGTCGAGACTGCATTCGAGGACAGATGGGGATTTTTGTCAAGACCATTTTCCCAAATGGATCAGCTGCAGAGGATGGAAGACTTAAAGAAGGTAGGAGAAAGCCTCTTGGGGGTCCTCAGTGGCGGTGAGCTTTGACTCCCTGGGAATCTGTCCCTTTGCAAGATGTGAAACGAGCAGCTGAGGCTGTGGTCTCGGGAGTCTAGTAGGCCTGGGCTGATTCTGGCGTTTATCATATCATGACCTTGGACAAGTGACCTAATCTGAGCTTCACTTTCCTCAGTTGTAAACTTGGGATATTAATACTTACCTTGAAGAGTTATTGTGAGGATTAAATTAGCTATTACATGAAAAGTGGATCAGTCTTTTTATTCGGGTCTTTAAATGTCAATCTTGTCTCCTTGGTCCTTGACCGTGCTCCTTGCCTTGAAGATTCCTGAGATTTTGTGCTCCATTCTTGCTTCAGGGCTGGAGTTCATACACATCTTTTGCATTCCCCATAGCACCTACCATTTTGACACGTATAAGCATACTACACAAGTGTTTTTCCTCCCCAGCTTTATGAGATATAATTAACATGTAACATTGTGTAAGTTTAAGGTATGCAACCTAATGATTTGATATGATTGCCACGATAAGGTTAGTTAACACCTGCATCACCTCACATAATGACCTGTTTTGTGTGTGTGTGATGAGAACATTTAAGATCTATTCTCTTTGCAGTTTTCAAGTATATAACACAGTATTGTTAACTATAGTCACCATACTGTACATTAAATCCCAGAACTTATGAATTCAGATTTTTTTCTTTTTATTAATATACTTCCATCATAAAATGATTAAAGCACAATATTTCTAGTTACCTTCAAAAATGCTATGACTGTTCAGTTCAATTGGCCCAAACTATAGGTGCTATTTTATTGAACTGGCTTTCTTTTTTTTTAATTGAGAGGGTGAATTGGAGTCTCCTTTTATTTAGGCAGAATGACCCTAGAAGCCTGTATGCTAATAAGACAGGACCAGTGTTAATATTTTGATGGCAGAATATTTATTTCTTTCTCTCAGAGGAAGGCTTAACTCCCAGGTGGTATTTGTGTCTACTTTCAGAACAACTTACAATTCTAGCAGAGCATTTTGATAATAGATGTGCCATGTGTTCACTTGATTGAAATTCATCCTGCAACGCTGGTAGAATGGAGCAAAATGGAGGGGGAAAAATCAACGGTTAGGACAGGTTAATACAATTTGATTCTTCCTAATACTTTTTTTTCACCTGTATTCATTTACAATAAATACAAGCCATTGGACTAGATTTTCAACCATGGAATATCTGTCTTTCTAAAATCTTGTACAAAGATTTTCAAGAGTATGAGCAACCATTTTAGTGTTTCCATTCTTTTCCCTTGTGGAAACAAACCAAAAACCTCACTTAGTTGAGTAATTGGTTATGCCAACTGATTTGTAAACAGATTCTTTCACTTATTTTACAACTTCTGTAATTGCCTTAAAGAGAAGGCACATAACAAATGCATGGGGACTTGCTACATTTTTAAACTCATCTACAGGATTCCTTGACTCAAATGCATGGTGAGCTCCTGGGATTGGCTGTTCATGGGAGGGGGAAATGTGAGTTCTTACGCTACTTTGAACTTTGTTATAGGTAAGGGAAATCCCTCTTCTGTCCTGCACTTCTGTCCATCTGTTCTTCTCTCAGGGAACCCTTTGTAGTATTTTGGATGAGCTGTTATTTTAAAAAACAGGCCATGTTACAAGAGTACAAACTAGAAACAAGCTCTAATAAGTCAACAGGATGTCCAAGTTCTTGTATATTCCCAGCAGACACTATCAACAGCCTGAAACATTACCTGACTACACCTTTTTGGTGTTGAAGATGAGTCCAGGATGTGAGGGGGAGGGGGAAGAAACACATGCACAGTTTGAGATTAGCCTACAATAATCTCTTAGATATAAGCATACAGTAACTTGCCAGCTTAATGACTGAGATTCTGGAACAGCATCAATAAGATCAGGCACCTAGACTATTTCTAGAGGTGGGGCTGCCATTCTTAAATAACATCTCACAAGTTTTTTGTCTCTATTATTGAAACTATTTTCCACGCTCTGTGATGATTTTCCAGGCTCAAAGAGCTTGTCTTTCTGCAAATATAGGAGTGGCTTCTCACATGTTGTGTGTGTTCATGCTTCATTGCCAATGAGTTTACGTTTTTTAAACAAAGACTATGAGGAAAGACTTGGGACTCAGTTTTTACAGTTTGATCTCTAAATGTAGGAAATCTGTTATCAAACTTGGCAAAGGCCACATAATAAGATCTTGATGCTTTCCATAGTTGTTTTAATTAAAGATAGAAATACAGAATTACTGCAAAAGACTATGCATTGTCATTGATTGTCCCATTTTGCGACATTCCTGGGAGCTAGGTTGATGAAAGTGGATTGGAACAAAAAACATTTTATAGAGTTGTAAATCAGGGACCATGAGGTATCCTATTCTAGTGCAGACTGAGCAGTTAGATTCCAGTAAATTAAAGCTTGACGGTAACGTAATTTTCCTATTTGGTCACTAGGGGATGAAATCCTAGATGTAAATGGAATACCAATAAAGGGCTTGACGTTCCAAGAAGCCATTCATACCTTTAAGGTAACAACATTCTTATTGATCTCGTTTGTCTTCTTATGCCTTTCTTTCCTTCATTTCATTCTGGTTTGGGCTTGGTGATTTTTTTTATTTTTTTTCACTCTTTGACATAGTGACAGTCTGAATGTTTTAGCTCTACTTTCTTCATGTTTTCTCAGCAAATCCGGAGTGGATTATTTGTCTTGACGGTACGCACAAAGTTACTGAGCCCAAGCCTCACACCCTGCTCAACACCCACACACATGAGCAGATCCAGCTCCCCAAACTTCAACGCCAGTGGGGGAACCTCAGTGGTAGGCTCAGACGAAAGCAGTTCTTCATCCCTGGGTCGGAAGGCCCCTGGGCCCAAGGACAGAATTGTGATGGAAGTAACCCTCAACAAAGGTGATAACACCAGCTAGTCCTCACTTCTGTTACATTCTCTCAGTTGACAACTTGTTTTCTGTTCTTAGGTTAACTTTTTATGTTTTTTCTATGGATTGTTCCTTTGGAGCAATCTGCTCCCAACAACATATGGTATTCTCTAAATGGACAGTGGTGGGATCAAAAGTAGAGATTTTAGTCATTTTACTAAAGTGGAGGGAACTTAACAGTAACACAAAGTCCTTTAAGCTCTTCCCAGATGACTCACTGTGTGTCAGACTCAAGTTTAAAAAAAAACAAAACACTGACTAGCTTAATTCTAGGGCTAATATAAAAGTTTAAAAACAAAAGATTATAGTTAAGAATACAGTTAACACCAGTAACTATGACCTGAGTGATCACCAAATCGTATTGCTTGTCATCTTTGTTTCCTTTTCTTCCCCGCCAACTGTAGAAATATCAGGAACAACTAAATAACCAAGAGCTTAGTTGCTAAAAAGAGAGGTGAAGAAAATCTAAAGTTGTATATCCAGAATAAACTATATTACTTCATCTCTGCCTATATAGTCCAAAAACAGATTTGAGGGGCTGTTTCAACTAAGCAGCAAATGGACCACTGATTAATTCACAGTCCAGAATTAGCCCCCGGTTCTGCCCTGGACTCGTTTCATTCGCAGAACACGGCAATGTAGACAAAGGAAAGCAGGGTTTACTTTCTGAGTCTGGTCAAAAAACAAATGGTTACTGGTCTGAATATACTTGAATGCGGTTTCAAATCACTCATGCTTCTTTTCTTTTTTTTATTTTTTTTTTCTTTGCATGGTGCCTCCTGCAGAGCCCAGAGTTGGATTGGGCATTGGTGCCTGCTGCCTGGCTCTAGAAAACAGCCCTCCCGGCATCTACATTCACAGCCTTGCCCCAGGATCGGTGGCCAAGATGGAGAGCAATCTGAGGTTTGTTGTAAACCTGATGGTACAGGGTTCTGGTGTGTTCGTGAACATGTGAATACATGCACATATAAGATACCTGCCCTATTACATTCCCTAGTGGGATTCTACGTCTTTTTATTATTTGCACAAATAGTGCCAGGATTATAATTAATAACATCTCCAAAGATGAAAAGCTAATATAAATGAATTCGGGTTGAATTGGAGAATTCTGGATCTTGGCCTTTCTTACCTATTTTGTTCTGTTGGGACATAGAAGTTCAGTTTCAGAAACTTGACAAACTACAAATCCATACAGATATCTCTGATTACCTAAATATATTCTTTCACTTTTATATTCAGCTATGTAAAATTTATATGAGGTGCTAGGAACTGCTCATCATGGTTTAGAATCACTGGATACAAGAGAGTCCTGAAATCATGCCCTTAAATGGGAGGCCTTTCTTATTAAGTATAGTCTCTTGAACCTTTTCTGTTGTTTCATTCCTGTTTGAGTGGTGATGTCTAGATGCTTACTGTCTGAAATCAGCGCGTGTCTGATTTCTCAATCCAGCTAGCTGGGTTTTGTAGCGTGGGTATTCTGTTTATACAAGACATGCCTAGGTGCTCTGTTATGTAGTAGTTGCAATGGGCCTGTGCCCACCTAAACTTCACAAGAATGTACATGCATTGCACAAAGCCCTCTGTGCAAACAGTATCACCTTTCTCCCCTATAAGCGTCTAAGTCCTTGGGCAGTTGAAGAATTGTCAAAATGACATTCCTTGAGGTTGCCATTTTGGGGCCCTGTCAATAGATTGTATTATGTTTTCAGTTAATCATCAGAGTGAATTTCCATATGAAAAAAAAAAATTTAGCAAATCATCCAAAGTACATTAAAGAAAATATACTTTTAGAACCCAAGGAAAAAAAATCCTTTAATGACATCCCAAGATGATGTTTCTTTCTTGAATGGTTCCATATGTCTGGAGCCTGCCAAGTGAACATTCTTCAAACCCCATATAAAGAGTCTTTGTTCTCTCCACTGAGTTCTCTCCCTGTAATTTCAAGTCAAATGGGCATCTTGTCCTCAATTTCTCATTTGTTCAAATTTGAAACGTTGTTACAAATTCTTGGGTAACCTTTGAGCTTCAGATATTTCCTCCTTAAATTATATTACAATAATCATTTCAAGATGGTAGGAAAAAAGAAGTTGATGGTGGTCGAGGAGCTATCACATGATGATCAAAAGGTAGACAGACTTCAGTTCAACAGTGTGTGACATCTGGGTGACCTCTCTGAGCCTGTGGTCTTATCTACATAATGGGAATAATAATACCTATTCAAGCATTGTTATGTAAATTGATTTGTATAGTGCCACACATATGCTATGCGCTCAAGAAAGGGTAGCCTTTGTTGTCCTTATTATCCATTTTATTTAACTACTTTACTTCTGAAAATGCAGGTAGATATGCGTAATGACCTTTGCCAATTTAAAATCGAATGTGTTTATGTGAATGTGTTGCTGTTTTCCATGTATGCAAAGATGAAAGGATATCATTTGCTTCTTTCAAGTATTCAGAAAAGATTTCATATTATAAACCTCTCCCAGAAGAAAATCTTGTAAAAAGCTGTTACCACAAAGCGTTGATTATGTTGCCTCCTTAGCCGCGGAGATCAAATCTTAGAAGTGAACTCAGTCAACGTTCGCCATGCTGCTTTAAGCAAAGTCCACGCCATCTTGAGCAAATGCCCCCCAGGACCTGTTCGCCTTGTCATTGGCCGGCACCCTAATCCAAAGGTGAAATATTTTATACTGTTCTGAGATTGGAAAGATGACTTGACTGTTTGTCCAGTAGTAGTGACACACATATTCCAATGATGACACATCTTTGGTGAGACAGTTCACCCCACTGGGGATGGGAATTGGCCTATGGCCACACACTAGCCAAGGTAACTGATACACGTGGGAAATGAATCATCAATCGGGATTTCTTTGTCTTCACACTCTTAGAAAATTTTATTGGTCACTTTTGACAACATTATTGGTGAATTTAAAATTTGGTAGAAGGTAGGAGTACTGGATTCTCATTAAACCCCAACTGGCTTTTTGATCTCTGGTGAGATATTTAACCTCTTTGGGTTTCTGCATCAAGAAAATCTGAGATCGTTAGACTAGATGATTTGAATGGGCCATTCCTGACCTGAGCAGAGAATACTTCTGTAATTAAGGCTTACGAGCCCACTAATTTCTTTTCATCATTGATATCATACTGTTGACCCATGCTGAACTTACAGATTATCGTACACCGTCTCATTGACCTCTGCTGTTATTTGGGTATCTCTTCTATACTTGTACAGTTGCTTTTAATTTTTTTAAGCTAACCACAGGACATGGAAGCAAGTTCATCTGAACCCTTTTTGAGCACTAGTTTTGAGTGCTCAATGTAAAAATCTTAAAATTAGCTTGTCTCTAACTTGGTAATCAGGTTATATTTTACAAAATTTGACCTTTTCCTTTTTCTTTCTTTTTTTTTTTTAAATTAGTTTCAGGTGTACAGCACAGTGCAATAGTTCTAATTTTTACCCTTCAAAGTGACAGCCCTCCTCCCCCAATCTGCCACTCCACTCCCCCCACGTATCATACATATCTATTACAATTCCACTGACTCCACTCCCACACTATACTCCACATCCTGTGACTAGATATTAATGTTCAATTATAATTGACATACAATATCATACAACATCAGCTTCAGGTGTACAGCGCAGTGATCAAGCCTCTACCCCATTGACCTTTTCTTTTAACAACTCAAAATGCTCATTAAGAACGTTAGCGCCTCCCATTCCTGTCATATGGCCAGGCCACCACCTCCACTTGTATTATTTGTAATATTATTTGATTATGTCCTAAATGGTCCCAGGCTACTGTGCTTGATGGACTTGTACGACATTGTAAGAGTACAAAGTCTGCACCAAGAGACCTGTGGGTCCTCCCAGGTGCCATGTGTGGATTTCTTTAGTGTAGAACTTGATAGCATCATTTTTAGTGTCTCGGTGGTGTTTGTTGTACTGGTCCCCCCCAGACTCAAACTGTGACTATGCCTTGATCTGGGAAGATGATGTCCACTACAGTGCTTGAACAAAGATTGTCATTAGACTGATTCAAAGTCAACTCTACTGCTTTTTTTTCCAGATTCTCTTTTATCTGTGTGCATTCTCAAAAATGGCTTACATAAAAACTTCTTAAATAAATATCATTAATATAAAATCAAATCCCACTTCTACCTTTTTCTTTTTTTTCTGCTTGTCACTTCCCAATTTTCTCCTTTCTGTGCTGTAGTCCTGAGGCTCTCCCTTAGAGACTGTTCTACTTTGTCCCCTACTGCCCCCATGGTTCTCTTTGGGTCACTTTTAACATGACTTTGCCTCCTAGTCACAGGTAGACCAGTCTCAGCTCCTTCCTCCAGGGTCCTCTCTTGGCTTCCAGCACCCACAAGGCCACACCTCCGTTCACCTTAGGAAGCTGTCCAGTAAGCTGTGGCTGACCTAGCATATCCCTCAGCAACATTATAGAAAGTTAAGTTTTCAGTGGTTTGTAGTCTAATGGCTTCAAGGCATGTCTGACATCAAAATCCATTCCAACATAGCACAGGTCATGATTTTTTCAGAGTCCACTTCGTCTCAGCCCAAAAACATCTGCCTAATTTGCTAATATAGTCAAACCAAAAAATGGCATTCAGTGCAAAGCATAATAATCCCTGATGGGCTATGGTGTACGGTCGGTCCCGTTGAGCACACAGGTTGATTCATGTTTCTAGCCGCAATAAAATAGTCGTCATGATGGTGTTGGAGATATGTCCACCAAAATCAAATTTCAGTAATTGTTTGACTGGATTTCACGTTTCTTCCGAGGTAAACATGGTGTTCTTAGTTGTAACATCATACTATATTTTTCTTTTGGTCAAAATTCCATTTTATGTTTAATGTATTTTTGTACCACTTATCCCAGCATTTCATGCCAATAGTATATTTTAATACTGAATGTATGTGCTTCCTTAGTTTTCATGTTGTTCCAAGAGAAATACCACAAGGATTTTCTTTTCTTCTGTTTCTCATAATGACTGGAGCAGTGGCTGCCCACTTGGGATATTCAAACCCTCCAGGTCTAGACAAGCTCAGATTTGGACCTGCTTCGGGTAGCAGCTTCTACCTTATCTTAAGTAGAAGAAAGTAATAGAGGCCCATTTTTAATTGGTACTGGGGCTTTCCACATGATTAGAATTATCCAGCAAATCTTTCACTTGTTTCAAACCCCAACCATATTTCTCCCACTCAGAAAAACAATTGCAAATATTGAAAGCCTCGTATCAAGAAAAAATTGTAATGACTATTAACTGGTGTTTTCTCTAGCTCATTTATACAAAATTACCATTTGCTTTATGAAAGGGTAAAAGTGTGTGTGTGTGTGTGTGTGTGTGTGTGTGTGTGTGTGTGTGGTGTGTGCATATGCCTGTGTCCATGTATGTGTACATATTTTATTTCTTTTAACACCTATAGGAAAGTATTACATAGAGGCCATGATGTGATTATTATTTATCTGTTAGGTTAAAATGTAATGCTGAGTGCTGTATAGAAATATTTATTTACTTATTAAGACAAATTGCTATGCTTATCCAAATATTATTTATGCTAAATGTTATTTTAGTACACAAAATTATCATTCTAGGTTTAAAATCCTCTTACCTTTAAAAAAGAAACTATATATGTTGTGTAATTGTCTTTTAAATATCTCATAGTTTAGCATTTAGCATATATCAGGCTATTAAAAAAATCTTTCCATGAATAATGATAGTTATGGATAACAATTGATAGGGGGAAAAAATCCATGTATCTACCATGATACTAATAAATATCAAAGGAAAAGAAGAGTTATAAAATTACTATTTTGAAAATTTCATCATAATAATTGATTCAGGTAAGAATAATCAATGATGCTAAAACCATTGAGTGAAAATATATTAGGAGCAGGATGTTCACATAGTCTCAAACTATTACCTCACAGATTATTCATTAATGACAAAAAAAATGCATAATCTAAATCTAAGCATGAAGAAACTATCAGACCAATTCTTTGAGGGTTTGGATTGTCCTGATTTTTTCAAAACATCAGTATAATGAAAGACAAAGGCTCAGAATTGTTTTGGCTTAAAGGAAACCAAAGAGACATGACAACTAGATCCTGAATTGAATCCTGGAATGCCAAAAACAAACAAACAAACAAAAAACTGTAAACATTACTATGCAAAGAAGTTGGTCAATAATAGTCCACAGCAAGATAAGGAGCTTGTGCCAGAATGTAAATCAGTTACATCACTGCACATCATTAGTTTACTGGACATTTTTTCCTTGGCAAGACATTGTTAATAAAAGAAGCTGGGTATTGTATTGATTTGCATTCTCGAGGAAAATCCTTATCTTATCACAGTCTGGAATCAAACTTTCGGGAACTACTTCCAGTTTACAGACACACTTTGAGTAGCATTCCTGAAGGATAGTATCAGGTCAAATGGCTAAATTGGAACATGAAATGTATATTAGGCAATCATTTGTATCAACATTAGATTTCCTGAATTTGATAGTAATACCAGGGTTATTTAAGAGAATGTCCTTGTTTTTAGGAGTCGCGTGCTAAAATATTTATGGGTGAAGGCTCATGATGTCTGCAACTAATTCCCAAATGGTTTAGTAAAAAGTTATAACAGTGTGTGTGTGTGTGTTGTGTGCACGCGCGCGTGTAAAGACAGAGCATGAGTGTAAATGTGGCAGAATATTAAAAATAGTGAATCTAGGTCAAGAGTGTACTATTTTTGTGCTACGCTTGCAAGTTTTACGTAGGTTTGAAATTGTTTAAATAAAATGTTTAGGAAAAAAGAGTCAGAAGTGAGTGTTCTAGAGAGAGGGAGACATCAGCCATGTTGTTGGTAACCATAGCACCTGAATGCTTAATTGACTTGGGAACCAGCTGAAGGCCTTGTTTTGAATACACTGTTTAAAGCTGTCAGTTAACCCAGCCCTACGCCCTGTATGTCCTGAGTGATTGCTTCAGAAGGGTGATCAGCATACTTGGCCCTGTGGTTTTCCTCTTTGTCTGTGCTCAGCCTCTGTCTCTGGTTCTAGCTACTTTTATTGGGGAAAAATAAATAAATAAAACCATCTAATTTGTGCTTTCTGCTGAAAATCAGGTTTCCGAGCAGGAAATGGATGAAGTGATAGCACGCAGCACTTATCAGGAGAGCAAAGAGGCCAATTCCTCCCCTGGCTTAGGTACTGTAATTGCACCTTTTCATTGAACATTCAGAAGGGTCTCTCATTTTGTTCCCCCACGGGGCACTGCCCCATGTAATATTATTGGATCCTCTCTAAGTACCAGGTTTGCAGAAGTAGCTGTCAAAGAGATTCCATCCTGTCTCCCTGTTGCTACTTTTGATTTCTGCGGTTATTTCATGTGCTTTATTGAAGTTCTAATCATGCATGCTTCTTACACTATTTTAAGATAATTTGTAAAAATGAGGTAGCAGCGTTTCACATGTTTATGCTCAATTCACTGAAACGTTCTAGGTGAAAATGAAGCAATACCAAAATATCAGTTGTTTGGTAGATACAGAGTATTATTACCCATGCAAAAACCTGGGATTTCTTCACATGAATTAAAAGTTTTTACTTAAGAAAGGTAATCGAGGCCGCAAAACTCATGCTTTCCCTCTTCTTAAGTGTGGAAAAGTTCAGGCAAAGAAGGATTGCAATCGTAAGAATTTCATATGAATTTAAAATATAAAACATTGCATCAAGTTTTAAAATCATGTTTCCTGTAGAATGGAAACCTAAAGGGACTCGGCAAACATGTCCGAACTTGAGATATTACTGATGTTAAGATTGATGTCGGGAGAAAAAGGAACTGAGACATGAGTTACTGGTTGTCAGAGGAAAAGGAAGGCATAGGAGTTTTTGGCAACCATGAAATACCCCGATTATTTGCATCCATAATTAATATATTTAAAGTGGGCCCAGCCATAAAGGGCTCTTTATTCAACCAGCTCATACTCCTGAACTGCCTGAAAGCCGTCCTCTCATAATCCCAACATATTCCCTTGATCATCTATAAAAGAGTTTAGTAAGCCATGATCCCCATTTCCAAGACCTTTTTGCTCATGGCATCTAATTTAAAGTCTCAAATGCTGAGTCTTTTCATCCTTAAACTAAAAAACTAAAATAGACATTCCACCCTCTCCCAATTCTTTCATGAGTTTCTTGGGTGGTGTTCCTTTGTTCATTCATCCTTCAGTCCATTCAACAACTATCCCAGAACACTTCCTAGATCCAGGTGCAGGGCTGGGCAATAGGTACAAGGTCTCTCGTTCCTGTCCATAAAGAGTTGAGGAAGGGAGATGAGATGCATCCACTTATAATTAAATGATACTATGTGTATGGAAATTGGTGTATGGGGAGTGTAAAATACTTTTGAAATTCAGAAGTTGCTCCCAATGGGGAACATCATGGAGGTGGTGGTAGTATTTGAGTTAGGGCTTGAAGCATGAGCAGACGCTTGGGAGATGGGATGGCACTGGAGTACCCAGGTAGATGGCATGCATGTCTGTACCTGTGCACATGGCCCGTCAGTGCCAGTCAAACTAAGGTTTGTTTAATAAGCTTGGCTCCTTCCTGTTCTAGATAAGGATGTGCCTGTTTGTAAGGATTTGAGCTTCCCTGTTCTAACAACATGGTCAAATTTTTCCCTCACAGGTACTCCCTTGAAGAGTCCCTCGCTTGTAAAAAAGGTGAGTCAAGGTGCACCGCTGCCGCGCTCAGCTGGCCCATGAACAAATTCCTGGAGCCCATCAGTTAAATTTGAGGGCCCAGCCCATATTTCTGTCCATGAGTCATTTGGCCACCTTACCCAGGAAATGGCCACAATGCTAATTTGAGAACAAATATACAAACGTGTTTTTTTTTTATTAAATATTCATCCAGGAAAAGAATAGAGCAACAAAATGAAAGAACTGAGCTGCACTTTGAAAAACAGTTTTCAAAGAGGGTCCCACTTGGTTTTGGGGGACCTGTGACTTTAAGGAGATGGATGGTAGACTCTTTCTCATCTGGCTCTTCCTAAATCCCAGTGGATCAGAGCGCAGGATTCAAACCCCTCCCCCTCCACCCCCCATTTTCTGTCCCATCAATAGGCTGACACAGTAGCTTAAAATTTCATTCTGTTTTCCTTTACCTCTTCCCTGATGTTTTTCCTGGGAGGGTTGATATATTGCTGCTGTGGCTTTTCTAGTCGTTGCCAAACATTTGACAAAAAAAAATAATAAATTTTTTTTTCTTAACAACCTTGTCTGGCAGCAACCATTGGCTTTTTATTCATCCATTGTTTAATTGAGCCATCCTAAAGTAAATGGAAGTGGGTGTTGACTATCACAGCTGTTTCGAATGGCTGTGGATTCGAACAAAGTGTTCATGGAAAGAGGGGAAGTAATTACTGTTTCAAATAATCCTGATGCGCCTTGTGAGCCACCCAGTATTGTCTTCAACAGGACTCCCTGATCTCTGAATCAGAACTCTCTCAGTACTTTGCCCAAGATGGCCCAGGCCCCTTGTCAGACTTCGTGGTGGCCGGCTCCGAGGACGAGGATCACACGGGAAGTGGCTGCAGCACCTCTGAGGACGGCAGCCTGCCGCCCGGCACCTCCAGTAAGCAACCCTGGCCACACCGGTTTACGTGTCCCGGTGCTGTAACATGATGAGAGAACTGGAAGCCATGCCCCTGGTTGTGGAGAGCCATCTTACTACCCTGAGTAAATACTGTTAACAACTGGCCGCTCAGTTCTGCAGTAAGGTCTCTACCCAGAGTGTTGGATGTGGCTAAGCTGGAGTCCCTCTGGATGCTGTGTCCACCGCAGTAGTCTTGAAATTTATGGCATCAAATCAGGGTTGGCAACTTGATGACCTTATGTTGTAGGGAAATCCTAGCCAATTGCCAGGGCCCTTCCCTCCCTGGGCTCTAACTTAATTCTTTTAGGAAGTGCCGAGTGAAAGATTCAGAACTTGTAAGAGACAGTCGTTTAATCATTATCTTCTCAGTATATGAGATACTGACTTCTCAGACTTCTGCTGGTATGGCTTCCCTTTTTCTTTCTAATGCCCGAACTAAAAAATGCCCTTGTCTTAGGAAAGGCAGGTGATGAGTGCTCTGGCTTTCATTTGGAGCAGCTGATGAGCTTACGTTTAGTCTCTAATAGAAACATTTCAAGGTGGGAGCACGTGTAATTGTTCACGACATTTAGCAAGACGTGAAGAGTGTGCCAAGCAGCCCATGCTTTGCTTCCCTCCCCTGGTTGGAATTTATTTACAGACTATAATCTCAGGCTTCACTGCACCACACACTCTAGGATCTTACAGGTCCGTTAATCAAGTCCCCCTTTTTGCAGATGAAGGGCGAGCCTCGGGTGATACGAAGGCCTAGGGGTGCGACACATGTTGGTCCCCGGGCACCCTCCTAAAGAGGAATTCTCAGCAGCAGCATCTAGAACCCCAGCAATGTGTTAGCCATGCTGGATGGTGACGGATTATGCATTTCTGTCTCTAGGCAACACCCATGTTTAAGTTAAACAGCCCAAAGGCTGAGGTGCAAAACAGTAAAAACACAAACAGGGAGGAAAAGGAGAGGGAAGCCTGCTGTCCACTCTGTGCAGATCCCAAGAAGCCTAGAGCTCAGCGGCCAGAGGGTGTGTTACTGGCAATTGTGGAAATGCTCAGGGGTTAACTTGTAAGATCAGGCCAAATGGGAAATTATTTCACTTGACTTTCCTTTCCCCACCAGCTCACAGAGAATCAGGAAAAGCCAGGGCCAACAGCCTTGTGTCTCTAGGAAGCCAGCGGGGCTCTGGGATCTTCCACAAGCAGGTGACAGTTGCCAGACAAGCCAGTCTCCCTGGAAGCCCGCAGATCCTCCGAAACCCTCTCCTCCGCCAGAGGAGGGTGGGCTGCTATGATGCTGACGATGCCAGCGATGAGGAAGAGTTTGATGGCGAAGGGGACTGCATTTCCCTCCCGGGGACCCTCGCAGGTTCCGGCAGGCTTCTGACAGAGGACAACTCTAGGCGTGTCGTAACAACCTCTACCAAGGTCATGGGCATCAACAACCAAGAGGAACATCCCCAGAAAACACTGGTCAGCAAGGCTTCCTCGGTGCCTCTCCTTGGCAGCTCATTGGACTTAGAGGAGAGCATCCCGGGGGGTGTGGGGGTCACTTCTCATGCGGCCAACCTGCTGGCCTCTGGAGCGGCCCCCAAGGGTGGCCCTGGCTGCTTGGGGAGGAAGGAACTATCAGGATCACGGAGTTCGCCCAAATTGGAGTACAAATCTGGTCCCCAGAGTCAGGTGAGCGTGGACAGCCCCAGTTCCCCCCAGCAGAAGATTGAAAGCCTGGGGCCCAGGCACAAACCGGTGGCCAGGGTCAGCCCACACTGCAAGAGACTGGAGGCAGAGGCCAGGCCCGGCGGCTCGGAGGCAGCAAACCGGACTGATGGAGCTAATGACCCATGTCGTCTGGACTCTAAAGTCAAGGCCACGTCAGTCCAAGTGACCGTGACTGGTTTTCGACCAGATGGACCTGTGGAGAAGGTAACTGATTTTCTCTTAGTTATTTGGGATCTAAGTGAATATTGCGTGGATGAATATGAAGTGTCGCATAGGATCATCTGCCTGAAAGAAAGGATAATGATTGGAGGCTCGTCTGTTAACAGTCATGCATTTCAGTACACAGACTGCTTGGGAGCCTGTTCATATATTGGCAGGTTGGTAGGGGAAGGTGCCCAGGAACTGAGTCATAGATCATTTGGCCAAAAGATATAATCTCTGTCTTTCCTGTACACAGGCCTGTGGGGGATGATGGGAGAGCAGTGCGAGGCAGGGGAAGGAAAACCCTGGGTCTGGTACCAGCTTCTTCAATGAAGCTGGGTGACCATTTGGGCGAGTTATTGAATCTTTCTGAGCCACAGTTGTCTGGACTATAAAGTAGTGGTACTTTTGTCTGCCCTGATCATCTCAGAGTTGGGGTGACTGTCAAATGTAGGGTAACAGTGATTATCTCCTACTGATGAGGTTCTGAGTGGTCCTTATTTTTTCAAACGTTCTACAGTGATTATGTGTAATTAAAGGTACTCGTACCCTTGTTGTATCACATGAAAGAAACTTATAATGCACTACAGTCAATGCAAGTTAATATTATTTATGTTACTACTTGGTTACACCTATGTCACAATGGCCCAGAATTACCAAATTGCTTATTTTTTAAAATTTCGGTATACCTCCATTTTAGCAAGGAGAGTAAGAGAAACTAACACTGTTTACAATCTTCTCAACATAAAGGATTTCTAAGCAAAGAATCTGAGATGATGTGTGAGGCCATATTTATAAAGATATGTGTTCAAGTGGTTTATATAAACATATGTGTAAATAGACCCATAAAATATGAAGTCATAAAAACTACACTGGGCAGAAGGGGTTTGTTTTGTTAACCTTATGGAAAAAGTAGAAACACACACCTTTTTCCCCTCCCCCTAAAAAATTACTACCTCCAATTAGCATGTGTTTTAAAATGTAATGTTCAGCTAATGGGTAAACCCTTTCTTTTAAAAAGTATCACCTATAAGTGTTGGATTGGCCTTTTTTATTCATAATAATTTATATCAATTAAAATAAGGGCTTTTGTAATTGTGAATTAGTATTCCCAATAAGAACTTTGAGCAGCATTTAAAACTTTTGTACAAAATAATTTTAATTTTTCTCATAAAAATTTGTTCCAAAATTTGATTTTATTTATACATGAGAAAGAAAATAGAATGCATTGACATAAAGCATTTACCCTCAAATATTGGAAGTTAAAAAAACTTTCTCTTTTGGTAAATGGGTTGTCCTCTACAGTTTTTATTTAATACTTTTTAAAATTAAGAGGAAATTCACATAACATAAAATTAAACATTTTAAAGTGTATAATTCAGAGGTACTTAGAGGTAGTGGTTACACTATCTAGTTCCAAAACTCTTCTACTGTTTTTATATTATATCTCTGCCTTATTGGTAAATAGAATACTAACTGAGTTAAACCCTGTGTAGATTTCCCTCAGTAGATAATTGACATTTTAATAAATGATTTTTTTTTTTTTTTTTTAATAAGAGTAGCTGAAAGACACCATCCATTTCACCTCCTCCCTCTGCTGCCACCTTTGGGCCACTTTATGGCTCTTTTAACTCAGAGGGTAAATCTCAAATCTGATTTAATGTTTTAGCAAGTTTTTTTTTATTTTTTTTTATTTTTTTTTTTAAAGATTTTTATTGGGGAATTGGGGGGATGGGAACAGTGCTGGGGAA